TAACATTACAGACAGGTAGTCCTCGTACCCTCGGCAATAAATGAAACAAAGAAAAAAGAAGAAAGAGAGAAAAAGAAAAGGAAAGAAAGAAAGAAAGAAAGAAAGAAAGAAAGAAAGAAAGAAAGAAAGAAAGAAAGAAGAAAAAGAAAGAAAGAAAGAAAGAAAAAGAAAAGAAAGAAGAAAGAAAGAAAGAAAGAAAGAAAGAAAGAAAGAAAGAAAGAAAGAAAGAAAGAAAGAAAGAAAGAAAGAAAGAAAGAAAAGAAAGAAAGAAAGAAAGAAAGAAAGAAAGAAAGAAAGAAAGAGAGAAAGAAAAAACAAAACATATTGAACACTATTCCAGAATGAAAACGAGATTTCGAAGTAACTTTACCAATGAAATATTAAGTCAAGAGTGCTTTCCAGAATTTCATGAATCGATGAGAATTTATGTTTGTGAATTAAACACTTCATATTCGCTTCGACTAATTAACGAGTAAGCGGGAAGTACTGACATTTGCATTCCGTTATATTTATGATCTTTAAGTTTTAAAACATTTGAGGCTTCGAGTGGCTCATGTTTGTGGTGAGCGCATAACGCTTAGCCAATGCAAGTGATTCTGCATAAAAGGAAAGTGTAGTGGGACAGGGTTGCTTGGCCTTTGATCGGAAATATGAGGCAACAATTTAGAATAACAGAAAAAAAACGAAAATAAGAAAGGAAAGGAAAGAAAATCGAAAAGGAATAATCGGCACATGTACCATGAACGATAGTCAAAGCCTGGTCGGAGCATGAACAGTAGAGTGGAAAGGAAAGAAGTCGCTCCATGAGAGCTATATCAGCATGTGTAGAGATATGCCGTTCGTAGAGACGAGCGGAGTCGAGGTCGTGGCCCGAGAATCAAGCTGAAAGAAGGTTGGTTATTAATAAGTTGAAAATTTGTATTGATTTATTGGTGGCAATAATATATTTTCAATCATCACTACTAGCAATGAACTGCGTACACGAACGCAATATCAAAGTTTTTAATAGCGTAATCCTGGTAATCTAAGTATACCTTTTTACTGGTCTTCAAGGTAGTTGCTAAATGTGACACATCTAGATATAAATAAAGATATACGGTACATAAACATGGATCTATCCATCTGTTTAACTGTATATACACAAACACCCATACAGATACATATTTATATGTTACATCACACAAGCTACGACCCATAGTATTAGGACAACGTCTGGGCGGCTACGCTGACCTCGGACCCGCCTCTCTCCTCCCGTATATATAGCCAAGTGTCCTCCGCTGAGCATCACACTCGCCTCACAGCCTCTCATCATGAAGACCGTAAGTGGCCGTCACATAAACAAAGTGTAACAGGAATAGGGATGAAGGATGAAGAAACAGATTGTAATTCATACGATGTTTCAGGCCGTCCTCCTCGCCCTCGTGTCTGTGGCCATGGCCGCCAAACTGCCCACCGAGGACCTTCCTGTGGCCATCGTGAGGAGCAGCCAAGTGAACCCCGACGAGAGCGGCGCCCACAGCTCCGACTTCGAGGCCGAGAACGGCATCGTGTTCCAGTTCTCTGGCAAAGAGGCTGAAGAGGGCGGCGCCAACATGGTCGGATACTTCGCGTAAGAGAACACTGAGTCATATTTTACTATTATTCCTAACGGTAATCTTGTCCAAACATTTTCGCCTGTTGTAACCTTTATTACGTTCTTGTACTGTTACGTACCCCCCCCCCCCGTCCACCATAGCTATACACTTTTTATTAGGATAATGCAAAAAATATACTAACTATGAAAAGACTGTATTGAAGGAGTGTTGGTCAATAAATTCGATTTTAAAACATGAATAACAAAGATGATTCATAGAGCATGTGATGTTTCTGTTTGTTTGTGTGTTCCTTGTTTGTTCACGTACCCTTATGATCTATGTTGTGTGTGTTCCTTGTTTGATCATGTTACGTACCTTATGTATGTTGCGTACCCCAAGGGGTACGCGGACCCCAGTTTGGACAACACTGATCTAAAGTGTAGTGCGAATACCCACACGTGCCAAATACCTGTAAATTCTAATTTGCTTGACGAATGTTCTTCCAGCTACCCCCAGGAGGACGGCTCTCTGGCCGAAGTCAAGTTCGTGGCCGACGAGAACGGCTTCCAGCCCGAGTCCTCCCTCCTGCCCGTGGCCCCCGCCTTCCCCACCCCATCCCCCAGTTCGTCCTCGACCAGATCGAGTTCGCCCGCCTCGAGGACGAGCGCAAGGCTCTCGAGGCTGAAGACTAGATGGAGTTCTTTTCCTTTTTCTTATTTATTTGTATTCATATCTCGAAATAAATAAAAATGATACATTCTCCTTGTATCTGCATTCTTACCTGCATTTCGATATGGCTGATGAAGCTTATTTATTGCTTTAAAAATACTTTTCTTAGTCGCAAATGTACACGGGGAATTAAACTACAAATATCAAACATAATCTCAGCAATATATATATATATATATATATATTATATATATATATATATATAATATATATATATATATATATATATATATTCTTGCCTCTATTGTTCCTCGTCTTGACCCCCTAATTTCGTTATTTCGTCACATCTTGTTATTGATCTGGCCCTTGGCCTTATGTTATTTATATCCCAATATATTACATTTTTGTCCATCTGTCGCCCTGTCTCCTGGATATATGACGTGCCCGCTGCAATTTCTTTTTATTGCTGCCAAGTATTCCTTCCATCTTGGTCTGTTCCCTGATCCACGTCGCCCTCGTCCGATCTCTCCGGCTAATTCCCGGGATCAACCTCTCCGTTCCTCTCTGGGCACTTACCAGTTTCCTCTCCAGTACTTTGTTCGTAGTCTATGTTTCTGATCCATTTGTCATTACTGGGAGAACGCATTGGTGAAGGTCTTTTATCTTTAAACATACTGGCAAGGAACCTCTTAGTATGTGTGTGCTGAAGGCTCTCCTGCCTCGACTGATGCGTTGCTTTATTTCCTCTCCACTGAATGTGCTTATCTGCATGAGTTGCCATAAACACACACACACACACACACATATATATGTACCACACACACGCACACACACATATATATAAATATATTCGTCCAGCACCTCTAGCACTTCCTTTTGTAAACGCATCTGTTCGAGTTGAACTCTACTGGTGAATATGACCTTAGTCTTTTCCTGTTCATCTTGATTCAGATCGTTTATTAATTGCTACAGTACATTTGCTGACTCGCTGAAGAGATCAATAACATGTACATGTCATATATATATATGTATATATATATATATATATAATATATATAATATATATATATATATATATATGTGTGTGTGTGTGTGTGTGTGTGTGTGTGTGTGTGTGTGTGTGTGTGTCTGTTTATGTATGTATGTATACAAATATCTCTATACGCACACATATTTGTATAAACATGTGTAGATACTTTGATAGAGATGTCATTCCTGATGCTCATCAAATATGGAGATCATTTGGATTCGCGTTTGACCTTTAACCTTTGATTCCCGATGACCATTCCATCTTTCATGGAAACCTTCCATTGGCTTCCGCCCTCCAATCTCCTGCGTGATCATCTGCCATGAAGGTCACTCTGGCTCAACCCCGATGAGCTGAAGCCGTTATATCACGAGGTATTTGGTGTAAAAAATAATTCCTTATCGAGTTTGGTTTATCATTTAGGATCATTAATTGATAACAAATGTCATATTAGGAAGTATGATTATTGTGTGAATTATGATCGAAATCATTAAAATGATAACTTGTATTTGAACTGATTAATAATCACAACAGCAGTCATAATGGCAACAACAGAAAAAATGAAAATTATGAATAACAATCAATATGCCTTTCTGATGAAACCACTTCCTCATAGGACTGAAAACACCAATTTCTTACTGTATCTTTTTCATCCTCCATTGAACTGAAAAATGGAACTGTGATATAACGGTACAAACCTTGCAGAAATGATGACATTTTGTCGATGTGCGTTTCCGGAAAAGTAGATGGTCGGAATCCATTTCCTGTAAATGTTTATTATCCTTATTATTATTATTTTATTCACAGATCGAAATAAACGAAAATGACCTTTTCTCTTCTTTTTGATACTTGCTTACAGTACTTCAGCATAGATGATACAATTCTTCTACTGCCTTTTCTCCTAAAATTAAAAATCTACAAAGGAAATTGATCAGGCAAAGTGTCAAGCGAGTGCACATTAATGGTGCTCATTTTGAAGAGCACAGGTAGTAAGTGGAGTGTGTCAAATTAGTATTTGCAATACATACACGTGGGAATCACTCTGTTTATCATTATGGCTGCTAGTATTGTTAATGGTTTTCCATATAATGGTTTCCTATTAGGACACTTTCTCGACGTGCGTTCTCGGATACTACACATACCCCTCGTGTCATCAATTAATGAGACAAGATGAATTCCAAAAACGTTGAAAAGATATATATTTCTTCATACTAAACACATTTCCAGAATGAAAACAATATATCGAAATGGCATTGCCATTCAGTTCGAGGTGCTCTCCGGAAGCAATTTAATAGTCGAAGATGAATCATATATTTGTAGATTAAACACTGAAACGTTGCTTCGGGTAATTTGCAGGTAAAGAAAGGTACTGACATTTGCATTGTAATAGTCACGATATCTGTTTGGAAACTTAAATACGCAAAAACATAGATATAGATATTGATGCAAGTATATATGCAATTATCTATATCTACAAATAGATACTGTATAAACAAATACAAATATGCGCATATAAATACATAAATACATATACATAAATGTGCACATATGTGCGTGTGTGTTATGTGTGCGTGCGATTTTGTGTGTTGTGTCGCCATTATTCACCATTCGCCAAACACCATACGTCACGCAGGCTACGACCCATAGTATTAGGACAACGTCTGAGCGGCTACGCTGACCTCGGACCCGCCTCTCTCCTCCCGTATATATAGCCAAGTGTCCTCCGCTGAGCATCACACTCGCCTCACAGCCTCTCATCATGAAGACCGTAAGTGGCCGTTACATAAAGAAAGTGTAACAGGAATAGGGATGAAGGATGAAGAAATAGTTTGTAATTCATACGATGTTTCAGGCCGTCCTCCTCGCCCTCGTGTCTGTGGCCATGGCCGCCAAACTGCCCACCGAGGACCTTCCTGTGGCCATCGTGAGGAGCAGCCAAGTGAACCCCGACGAGAGCGGCGCCCACAGCTCCGACTTCGAGGCCGAGAACGGCATCGTGTTCCAGTTCTCTGGCAAAGAGGCTGAAGAGGGCGGCGCCAACATGGTCGGATACTTCGCGTAAGAGATCATTGAATCCTATTTTACTCTTATTCCTAACGGTAATCTTGTCCAAACATTTTCGCCTGTTGTAACCTTTATTACGTTCTTGTACTGTTACGTCCCCCCCCTCCCGTCCACCATAGCTAAACAGTTTTAATTAGGATAATGCAAAAAATATACTATGAAAAGACTGCATTACAAGAGTGTTGGTCAATAAATTCGAATTTAAAACACGAATAACAAAGATGATTCATAGACCATGTGATGTTTCTGTTTGTTTGTGTGTGTGTTCCTTGTTTGTTCACGTACCCTTATGATCTATGTTGCGTACCCCAAGGTGTACGCGGACCCCAGTTTGGACAACACTGATCTAAAGTGTAGTGCGAATACCCACACGTGCCAAATACCTGTAAATTCTAATTTGCTTGACGAATGTTCTTCCAGCTACCCCCAGGAGGACGGCTCTCTGGCCGAAGTCAAGTTCGTGGCCGACGAGAACGGCTTCCAGCCCGAGTCCTCCCTCCTGCCCGTGGCCCCCGCCTTCCCCACCCCATCCCCCAGTTCGTCCTCGACCAGATCGAGTTCGCCGCCTCGAGGACGAGCGCAAGGCTCTCGAGGCTGAAGACTAGATGGAGTTCTTTTCCTTTTTTCTTATTTATTTGTATTCATATCTCGAAATAAATAAAAATGATACATTCTCCTTGTATCTGCATTCTTACCTGCATTTCGATATGGCTGATGAAGGTTATTTATTGCTTTAAAAATACTTTTCTTAGTCACAAATGTACACGGGGAATTAAACTACAAATATCAAACAAACATAATCTCAGCATATATATATATATATATATATATATATATATATATATATATATATATATATATATATATATATATATATATATATATATATATATATATATATATATATTCTTGCCTCTATTGTTCCTCGTCTTGACCCCCTAATTTCGTTATTTCGTCACATCTTGTTATTGATCTGGCCCTTGGCCTTATGATGTTATTTATATCCCAACATATTACATTTTTGTCCATCCGTCGTCCTGTCTCCCGGATATATGACGTGCGCGCTGCAATTTCTTTTTATTGCTGCCAAGTATTCCTTCCATCTTGGTCTGTTCCCTGATCCACGTCGCCCTCGTCCGATCTCTTCGGCTAATTCCCGGGATCAACCTCTCCGTTCCTCTCTGGGCACTTACCAGTTTCCTCTTCAGTAATTCGTTCGTAGTCTATGTTTCTGATCCATTTGTCATTACTGGGAGAACGCATTGGTTAGTCTTTTATCTTTAAACATAATGGCAAGGAACCTCTTAGTATGTGTGTGCTGAAGGCTCTCCTGCCTCGACTGATGCGTTGCTTTATTTCCTCTCCACTGAATGTGCTTATCTGCATGAGTTGTCATAAACACACACACACACATATATATGTCACACACACACACACACACACACACACACACACACACACACACACATATGCACACACACACACACACACACACACACACACACACACACACACACTATATATAATATATATTCGTCCAGCACCTCCAGCACTTCCTTTTGTACACGCATCTGTTCGAACTAAACTCTACTGTTGAACATGACTTTAGTCTTTTTCCTGTTCATTTTGATTCAAATCGTTTATCAATTGCTACAGTTCATTTGCTGACTCACTGAAGACATCAATAACATCTACATGTCATATATATGAATATATATATATATATATATATATATATATATATATATTATATATATATATATATATATGTATGTATGTATGTATGTATACAAATACCTCTATACGCACACTCATATTTGTATAAACATGTGTAGATACTTTGATAGAGATGTCATTCCTGATGCTCATCAAATATGGAGATCATTTTGATTCGCGTTTGACCTTTAACCTTTGATTCCCGATGACCATTTCATCTTTCATGGAAACCTTTCGTTGGCTTCCGTCCTCCAATCTCCTGCGTGATCATCTGCCATGAAGGTCACTCTGGCTCAACCCCGATGAGCTGAAGCCGTTATATCACGAGGTATTTGGTGTAAAAAATAATTCGTTATCGAGTTTCGTTTATCATTTAGTATCATTAATTGATAACAAATGTCATATTAGGAAGTATGATTATTGTGTGAATTATGATCGAAATTATTAAAATGATAACCTGTCGTATTTGAACTGATTAATAATCACAACAGCAGTCATAATGGCAACAATAGAAAAAATGAAAATTATGAATAACAATCAATATTCCTTTCTGATGAAACCACTTCCTCATAGGACTGAAAACACCCATTTCTTACTGTATCCTTTTCATCCTCCATTGAACTGAAAAATGGAATTGTGATATAACGGTACAAACCTTGCAGAAATGATGACATTTTGTCGATGTGCGTTTCTGAAAAAGTAGATGGTCGGAATCCGTTTCCTGTAAATGTTTATTATCCTTATTATTATTATTTTATTCATAGATCGAAATAAACGAAAATGACCTTTTCTCCTCTTTTTGCATACTTGCTTACAGGACTTCAGCATAGATGATACAATTCTTCTACTGCCTTTTCTCCTAAAATTAAAAATGTACAAAGGAAATTGATCAGGCAAAGTGTCAAGCGAGTGCACATTAATGGTGCTCATTTTGAAGAGCACAGGTAGTAAGTGGAGTGTGTCAAATTAGCATTTGCAATACATACACGTGAGAATCACTCTGTTTATCATTATGCCTGCTAGTATTGTTAATGGTTTTCCATATAATGGTTTCCTATCAGGACACTTTCTCGACGTGCGTTCTCGGATACTACACATACCCCTCGTGTCATCAATTAATGAGACAAGATGAATTCCAAAAACGTTGAAAATATATATATTTCTTCATACTAAACACATTTCCAGAATGAAAACAATATATCGAAATGGCATTGCCATTCAGTTCGAGGTGCTCTCCGGAAGCAATTTAATAGTCGAAGATGAATCAGATATTTGTAGATTAAACACTGAAACTTTGCTTCGGGTAATTTGCAGATAAAGAAAGGTACTGACATTTGCATTGTAATAGTCACGATATCTGTTTGGAAACTTAAATACGCAAAACATATAGATATAGATATTGATGCAAGTATATATGCAATTATCTATATCTACAAATAGATACTGTATAAACAAATACAAATATGCGCATATAAATACATAAATGTGCACATATGTGCGTGTGTGTTATGTGTGCGTGCGATTTTGTGTGTTGTGTCGCCATTATTCACCATTCGCCAAACACCATACGTCACACAGGCTACGACCCATAGTATTAGGACAACGTCTGAGCGGCTACGCTGACCTCGGACCCGCCTCTCTCCTCCCGTATATATAGCCAAGTGTCCTCCGCTGAGCATCACACTCGCCTCACAGCCTCTCATCATGAAGACCGTAAGTGGCCGTCACATAAAGAAAGTGTAACAGGAATAGGGATGAAGGATGAAGAAATAGTTTGTAATTCATACGATGTTTCAGGCCGTCCTCCTCGCCCTCGTGTCTGTGGCCATGGCCGCCAAACTGCCCACCGAGGACCTTCCTGTGGCCATCGTGAGGAGCAGCCAAGTGAACCCCGACGAGAGCGGCGCCCACAGCTCCGACTTCGAGGCCGAGAACGGCATCGTGTTCCAGTTCTCTGGCAAAGAGGCTGAAGAGGGCGGCGCCAACATGGTCGGATACTTCGCGTAAGAGAACACTGAATCACATTTTACTATTATTCCTAACGGTAATCTTGTCCAAACATTTTCGCCTGTTGTAACCTTTATTACGTTCTGTACTGTTACGTCCCCCCCCCCCATCCACCATAGCTAACATTTTTATTAGGATAATGCAAACATATACCATGAAAAGACTTCATTGAAAGACTGTTGGTCAATAAATTCGAATTGAAAACAAGATGATTCATAGAACATGTGATATTGCGTACCCCCAGGGGTACGCTGATCCCAGTTTGGACAACACTGATCTAAAGTGTAGTGTGAATACCCACACGTGCCAAATACTGTAAATTCTAATTGCTTGACGAATGTTCTTCCAGCTACCCCCAGGAGGACGGCTCTCTGGCCGAAGTCAAGTTCGTGGCCGACGAGAACGGCTTCCAGCCCGAGTCCTCCCTCCTGCCCGTGGCCCCCGCCTTCCCCACCCCATCCCCAGTTCGTCCTCGACCAGATCGAGTTCGCGCGCTCGAGGACGAGCGCAAGGCTCTCGAGGCTGAAGACTAGATGGAGTTCTTTTCCTTTTTTCTTATTTATTTGTATTCATATCTCGAAATAAATGGAAATGATATATTCTCCTTGTATTTGCATATTTACCTGTATTTAGATATGGTTGATGAAGCATATCTATTCCCTTAAAACGCATTTCCGTGGCACTTTTTCCTGAAACGAGACAAATATACACAGGAAATTAAGCAGCAAAATATTATGAATGTAAAATCAGCGATCTCTTTCTGTCTCTATATAAATTATATATGTATATATGAATGCATTTGTATGTATATATATGCATACATATATATGCATATGTATATATATGTATGTGTATATACATATATATATATATATATATATATATATATATATATATATATATATATATATATATACATATATATACATAATTTGATAAAAACTTTCATTCCTGATGCTCATCAAATATGAAGATAATTTTGATTCTGGTTTCACCTTTTTACAACTGTATCAAAATAGTTTTACCTACGCTATATCATTAGCAAGGACGACACACCCTTGCCCATGACAGAATAAAAAAATATGTTTATTTATCTAATTATTATTATTTCTTTCTCTTATTTTTTTTACCAGATTTGTAAACCAAAAGTATATTTAAGTTTATTTATTTTGTTGATTTATCTTTTCATATTAATGTATCGATTTCCTGGGTCATCCTTCATAATAACGTGTGAAAAGCTTAGGATGGGAATCATTCAACTCACAGTAGATAATTATTCACAGTAGATAATTATGTCATCTCCTACAGTATGTTTGTCACGTAACATTGTCACGGTGTGTCATAACGATACATTAGATGCATCAAAGGTTGCCAACGTCTGTGCACAGCTAAGTTGGTAAATAAGGACTAAATTAATGACCCCGTTTCCTGGTAGATCTGTTTGATGTAATTGCCTGCTGATTTAATGAGCATAATTTTGTTTGCTTCCTAGAATTTGTTACCATTCGTGTTACTTTTCTAGTTGGTTTTGCTGTTATAGTCATTATCATTCTTAATCATATTACTTTTATCATTAGTATTAGTATTATCATCATTATTATAAGGATTATCATTATTAATAATGTATGTATATACATATATGCATATATATATATATATATATATATATATATATATATATATATATATATATATATATATATATATATATATATATATATATATATATATATATATATATATATATATATATATATTACATATATATATATATATATATATATATATATATATATATATATATATATATATATATATATATATATATATATATATACCCATACATTTATATACATCTATGTGTATATAAATATGGTGCTCGTGTGCATGTGCATTTTCATACACACACTCACTTACACATACATACATATATATATACATATATATATAT